GGCCCATTCCCCGCCCCCCCCCAAAGCCCCCCCCCGCGCGCGCATCCTCCGGAGCCCCTCCGGGCCCTCCGAGGGTGAGAAGCCGGGCCTTCTCCGGCGGGCGAAGAGGGCGCCAGGTGGGGAAAGGTCCGGACACCAACCAGGGAAGTTCTCTGGGGCCTGCAAGGCCTCGGGAGGCAGGCGGGGGGGCGGGGAGGGGAAGGCCGAAGGGCTCTCTTTTCCTGCCGCTCCGCCTCTGAACGGATTGCGTGCAAAGGACAAGGAAGGGGGTTCCGGCTGAAGGAGACCTTCTTGAGGATGAGCCAGGCTGGACTGTGGAATTGGCAGCCCGGATGGCTACCTACTGGGATTATTATTATTATTATTATTTTGCAAGAGGTTGAAGTAGAATAGATGATCTTTGGGGTTCCTTCCAGCCTTACAATTCTAGGATGCATTTCCTGACACCCCAGATGTCACGCCATGCATCTGAGGAAGTGGGCTGAGTGTCCACAAAAGCTCATGCCCCAGGAAATCAGCTGTGCCTCTGGAAGGACCCGCCCTGCCCCTGCCCTTTCCTCTTCCTTTCTGGACATGGAGGTAGTGCTCCTGCTTGTTCACACTCCCTTAGGCAGCCTCTACTTTTGAGTAGCAGCAGCAGCAGCGGCGCAATGTTGTCTCAGCTGACACCCAGCGTTGGTTCTGCGTCCTGATTCTGTGGCTCTGTCTTCAGTTTGGAGGACAGGGCAGGATGGGGCAAGGGGGGGGCTAGAGCCTCAGTGAACAGCTCCAGCAGTGGGAAGCCAGGCAAATCTGTCACCCGGCAACCCTGAAGAGGAGCGCAAGTGATGGAAAGACTGCCAGAGGCCTGGAGGACAGAAGCACTACCTGGGCGTCCATGGCTGGCCGGGGAAACTCCCAAGACCTGGTGGAGCACAACTCCAGGTGGCAAACCAGAGAGCTCTTGGAAGAAGCCCACCCCACCCCAGCCCGCTCTCTTGCCACCCCCACCCACTTGCCCCAGGTGCGGAAGAGAGGCACTGGGGAAGTAAAGCGCCAGTCATTCAGTCTGCTGCGTCTGGCCTTTTTGTTGGCTGTCTCCCACTGTTCTGTTCCCCCCCGCCCCAAAAAAGGATCCCATCACTTCCTGTCTCCCCAAACCAACTCCTTTCTATTTGTCAAGCTGCTAAGATCTCTTTCTTGGGGGCGGGGGGGAGCCAAGCCCTTTTTCTGGGCCAGAGGCTCAGGCTTCGAAGCCTGGACTCCTGTGTAATTAGTTAGATGGATCCGTGCGGGGGTTGGACTCGATGGCCTTAGACACCCCTTCCGGCTCCATTGTGCTCCAGTTCTATGAAGATGGGCTTTCCTGTCAAGTACATTTTTCTAAGTATATTCAGAGTCTCTTTTTTGCTCCATGGAGTAGACAGTAAAGTCATTTTCAAGGCTCACTGGGGTCACCAGTCCTGTTTTACTCTGCTAAGAAAGGAGAGCGGAGAGAGGTCTCCCCACCAGGTTCAATAATCTCAGTCAGAATTGGGGTTTTTTTATTATTATTATTATTAAAAACAATAACAGTTCTAACATAAAATGTCTGTACATACCAGCAGCATAGGCACCCTTCAGTCTCGAGAGACTATGGTAACATGTT